CAGAGTGGAATCGTGAAAACGTGCAATATCGTTACTTTAACTGCATTTGGAAGTGAAAGGCCATGAATTGCAAGAGGATAAGGGTAGCAAGAGCCCACGGATCACCAGGCAGAGTAGGATGTGTTCCCCCACTATTTCCTGCTCCTACCAGTTCTTTGGGCTCCCCCAAAAGGGGAAAAGCAGAGACGATGTCAGAGCACGAAGCTTTCTGAGCCCAGCAGAGTCTGCAGGCTGCGAGAGCGCAGGATGGAAGAGGCAGAGCGCCTCGGCGTGGGGACACACCTGCAAAACTAGCTCACGCAATAGCCTTGGCATGCCAAGACAGCGCAAGTGCTTGAAAAACACTCTGGACCAAATCTATCAGCATTTGCTCTTTCCCCTGCTCTTCGCCTATGGAATACAGCTGAGGATTCTTCTCTATCTAAAGCTCTATTTTTGAGACCTCTTAGTAGGAAGTCTGGATACAAAGCCCTCAATTTATTAGATAAGCCAGGAACCTATAGTTTTCTGGCACATACTGAGATATTCGAACTGGCCATCCAACACTCCTCCTGAAGACCATATCCTGAAATCTCTCTCAGACAGCTGAGGTCATATAATCCATATTGACATTACTACAAAGTACATACCTCAGGAGTACCAAACCTCTACCTTATCTAAGAAACAGAGCGATACTTTATTTGAGCAAGCAGATATGCCCAAGGAGGTGTTAGCTTTCTCGAAAAGGTCTCCATGAGATTTATGTAGCTATTTCCAGTGTGTTACTTGAAAAGCGTCAGACTCACTTTCCATCAAGGGGGCATTAGGTTAGCCTATGAGCATGGGAGTGCTGGAGCTGCTGTCTTGAAGAACTGTGATAGATTTTCAGCTTAAATTTGGAGGGTAAAATATACGAGTTTTAACTCAGGCACACAGAAAGCCCTGGCTGTTTGCTCCCCAGGTGCCTCCCTCCATTGCTAGTCAGCATGATGGTGCCAGAAACACTGATGTGAGAGGGTGCAGAGCAGCAGCCCTTTCCCTAGCACTGCAGAATAGAATTGTCCTATGGATGCAGCGCCAATGTATAGCCAGGAGCTCTGCAAATTAAATAGAGCAAATGGCCAAAACTGACTAAGGGGAGGATGAAGTGTGATGCTACCCAGCACACTGGTAGCTGTAGTACCAGACTGGTTGAAATGGTTGTGTTTCCTGACCTTAACTTCTAAGCCCTTTGCCTAATTTACTGATCTGTATAATACTGATGCATATTTATAAACAGTAAATATATAACAACTTTCTGTGATGGCTGCATGAATGATGAACTGCTGCCCCATAACTTTGGAGCTATTCTGGTGGTCGCATGGATGAGTCTCATTTTAGAATATCCTTTCAAAAGAAATAAAATGAAGTGGCATTTTATGTAACTCGGTTACAGTAGGAAGCTGTTAACAGTACAGCATTAAAATAAAATTGTTCTTGATATTTAAAAGTGATGAAACGAAGAGAAAAATAAATCCGCCCACAAAAGCTGCAAAACTCCTTACAAGTTCAGTATCTGCCAAAATCCTACTCGAAAAAATGGGTCTCCTTCCCTCAGGAGGATCCTCCCACATAGTTCAAGGCACAAAGCCCAAGAGTAATGTTTCCTGTCCACACGGACACTCTATCCAGAGGCACATCCAGCATCCTCATTAGTAAATACCTCTTATTATATGTTTTGTTTTGATTGCTTCCTAAAAATATCACCACTAAATCTTCATATTTTGTGCATTTTTGATAATGAAGCCTAAAGATAGGTAAGTCGAGATGTGGTACATTTCAGCAGATGTCCATATTCTTTAAAGGTAAACATTTAAAGCTAGGCTATTACTGTGTAATGTTTGAAGTTTGAACATTAGTGTGTATATTTAGTCAAGTAATTGGCTGACTGAAATATTTTAATAATTATCAGTCAAGCTGTGATTAGAAGTTAAATCCTAATGGCAGACTAAATGCAGCTGGAAGAAAAAAATGAATAAAAATAATTTCTGTGTTTTAGATTACCAATTTGTATTATTTTAAAATACCACCCCAGCATATTCTGCTGCCTTTATTTTCCTTTCAGTGTTATGATATAATTGTTACCATAAATAAATGAACTTGCAATAACTTTCAGATCCCTAGGTCTGGCATTGACATAATCACAAAAGGGCAAAATGAATTCCTCTGATGAGATGAGAAGTTAGTTCGGTCTTGCACATTTATTTCCAACATTTTGGCTACACACATACCTGTCTCACATACTTAATAAACACAAGACTATTTTCCAGAGTTCCACTAAGTAATTTTTCCCATAGAACACTAAAAAAGAAAAAAAACCCATTCACTATTAAAAAACTTTAATTATTTGGAATGCTAACATCAAAAATATTTATTTGAAAATGGTTCTTTCCACTTTAGTCCATCTTTAAATGTTACACGATATTCCACTGACTAGTATTACAAATTACACTGACATGTTTTCTCATACTTGTAAAAGAACTACAGTAAATGTTTCACAAGGTGTTTGGAAAAAAAAGCACATATAAGAAATTATTCTTTCTTTCTTCTTTTATGATAAAAGAGAAATTTACTTTTAAAGGAACAAGACTAGACATTATAAAGCTAAATATATTTTGACATATTTAACCTCACAAATAAATAAATATATACAAGGGAGGTTACAGCATGTCAGCTACAAAGTAGAAGCTTTATGTTGTTGAACTGAGAGCATTCAAGAGCATCTGACTGACATAGACAGTTTAAGATTACTACATGGTAGTAAAAAAGAAAAGGAAAAAATCTTAATTCAGCAAAAATATAGGTAGCTGTACATTGATGGTTAGCTAACAGCCTTGCTTCAGTCAAGATACTGTTTTTGCTTTTTATTTATATTTACTGATTTATTATATTTTATTAATTCCTCACTTCTCAGAAATAATTCTTTTTTCCTTCCTTTTATTCTGAACACCATAATCAGGTAGAAATCTCACAGTAAGCTGCTATGTGAACACTATTATCTACAGTAGTTAAGCAAGTGGGATGATAAAATACTAAGTTCAGTAAGTGTTGGTACATAATCTCTCCCTATTTTTTCCCTTATTACAGATAGGTGACAACATTCATCCCTGTTAATAATTGCATTTGAAGTAAATAGGGCTGACGCTCATTCATACCATCCTTTAAGTTTTTGCAGTTATGAGACTGAGGTTTCTTTAAAGGTATTTATATCAACAGCAGTGTTTCTGGATGGAATATAATCAGAACATGCTCCTCTCCTTCAGCAAACAAGGTGTTTGTAGCCAGGGAAAATACTCTATTTGTGCGGTCACAGCATTAAATGATCTCTGCACACAGAAGTGCATGCAAAGAGCAGAGAAAGGCACAAATCCACATCCCGAACCACTGAACATCCATCTGCTTGGCAAGTGAAAATATCACAGCACAACTTTCTGGTCACATTTTGAACACAACTAATCAAATATTTGGCTAAAAATACTTTGGTAAAAAAACAGCCTTTTTGAAAGATGAAAAATTCCATTAGGAGACATTATTCGTTAACTAAAATATTTGAAAATACTAACTAAAGCTTATGCTTTCATTGACATGTACAGTTAAAATTTATATAAAGTCTAGCATGTGTCGAGACATACTACAAGACAGATGCACTTTTAGCAGACCTGGTTGTGTGTTAATGTGTCATAAACTTATAGATATCAAAACAAGCAAGAATTTTGTGTTCTTGTCTGCCTTCTGCACACACACACAAAACTCCATGTAATTATGCACACTGTATAGTAAAGCAAAATTCACTGATGTCTGAATACTGACACTGGGCCTTCAACAGTACTGATCTGTTGTCAATTGAGGGGCAGGAGAGAGATGATAATATTGATACTGGAAGTGCCAAAATAGATGCCATTTATTCATGATGAGGGAAAGTGCTGCAATCCCAGATTCTTCTCACGTTGCAGTGCCATACGAGGGTGGTACGCGTAGAACATATGGGACATACAGAAAGGTCATTTTTAGCACCATTCATTGTTCTTACATTGTCTGTGCTCCACACTGTTGTTTCCGCTGTAATATTTACCATGTGCATTATAATAAAAATATGTGTGGAGAGACTTTTAGGTGTATATGTATATATCTATACATAGGTGAATATCTTCTATTTCATATAGTGAAAAGGAGCATTAGACACAGGATTGCACACATTGGCACATAAACTGTATAATTAGGTAGGCAATGGGAGATGCCACCTTCCATATACACTGATGTTGAAACATGACGTTCTGTAAAGCTGGGATTTATCTGTTTGCTTATTCTACACCAACGCAAATGACACCTACCACTGTTTTCATACACAGAATAGCTATTAGCAACCTGCACATCCTTCCTAGTCATCATATCCATGCACATGAATACAAAACAGATTGAATTGACAGCACATACAGTTTTGTTAAGCAAGATTTGCCTGATTAAGTCAAGTCAAGATTTGTTTAAAAATAACCCTTTAACACTGGTGTTAAGGTACTCACAAAAAAAGAACAGGTAGCTCTGGACAGTAAAGAAGCAAGAATTTTAACAAGTGCAGCAGGAAAAATCCATTTTCTTCCAAAGAAAAAGGCCATCAGTAAACTGTTCAGAAAGAGCTTGCCTGTACTGTAGGATGTCTGCTGTCTTCTCCAAGAGTCAAGACTTGCTGCTGTTTGGACTAGATAATTTAGAGTTAGGCTTGTGTTTCTTCAGTCATAAAAATATTTACACAGGTTCTCAATCAGTTGTTCAGGTATTATTTGGCTTCCACTCATTTCAAAACTGTTCAGTATCATGGTAGAAAACTGTCTTTTTCCAAACAGTAAACGGGCAGAGAAATTGGTCCTCAGATGGAAGCTGTTAACAGGATAACATCATAAACTGGGAAAAATATTTAAACGAGTCACATTAAATGATGGATGAACCTCTCCTCCATTATTCTCAACTCCGTGAAGATTTGTTGTCTTGCTCTGGTTCAAAAAACTCAGAAGCCCAATTAGAACTTTGTGCTGTGACTAAATGTATCAGACATGATGATATTTTTATAGAAGTTGTCAGAGTGAGCATTACAGTATCCCTTGACCTTGTCAATAACCTGATGGACTGGCATGATTGAGGTCTGTTCTCCATTCTCTTGGGTAAATTTTGAAGATGGTTTGTCAACAAAAATATTTTCTAGGAAGAGGAAAAAGCAACAACAAGAGGTTAAGACTTCTTAAGCAAACTCATAGTTTAAGAGGTGTGTCACCCTACTGTACAGATATGCTTTCAGTTACCATTATTGTTGAACAAAAATACTGTCATAAAAGCCAGAAAACTCCTTTGGCTTGTCTTTTTTATTTTTTTTCCCCTATATTATTCTCAGAATCCAACTTTTACCTAAATTCAGTATATTCTAACCTAAATGGCTAGGATTTTAGCTCTAGCTCAGGTCACTTTTGTGTTTATCCCCTCTATTATTTTGCCTAAAATGTAACTAATATGACTCCTACTGCACTTTAATATATTGATTTACTGCTCATGCTTTGAGTCTTACAAATTAAAAGAATTTCAGTATCATTGAAATGAGTGACATCCATAACTTCTGCTAAACACCTCCATATAACAGCATAGCAATAAATGACAGAAAGTAAACTATTTCTCTGTGAAAGTTATAACCTAAAGCACAGGAATAATCACAGAGTGTAGCAAAAGATGACTTACATATTAAATCTGATAACCAGAATTAAAACTGCCCTAAACTTTATACTGTGTCTTTTCCACAATGTAAAGAATACAGACTGAGCAACTATGGGAATGCAATGTGGAAAACTGCTATTGTTTCAGAATTTACATGCTATAAACCAAGGATGGAATGAAAAAGAAGTAACACAATTCAGTCTTAACATTTTATCTTTTATTTAGTGAAAAGATATGGACCTTCATGTTGCTCATGTTGCCTAGGGCACTTCTGATAGGCACAGTGGACATTATCTTTACCAAAAAGATCATGTGATAAACCCAGTTAGACTTTTATCTCCCTTTTGTAGACATGAACCATACATATTTTAGAATCTAGATATAAGAAGCAACCATTTTGCTTCTACTGCTAGTTAGCAGTTTAGGCTCCTTCCAGCACTAATGGAGAAAAGCAGGCATTTCTGGAGCGCATTTGTCAAATCCTCTTTCAGACATCCACATTATGCCAGATGAATCATATCTTATGCTTGCCTGCTCACCCCCACTAACTATAAAAATTGACTGGGGTATCCTGTAACCTACAGTAAAAGTCTCAAATCATGTGACCTGTGTCCTACTCTGGTATTTCCTTAGGGCAACTCTTGACAATGTCTCATGAGAGCTGGCATGCCTAAAAGCCTGGGCCTTGCAGCCTTTTTCATATGATCTTCAGAAAAAAAAAAAAAAATCTCCTTCTTGGAGTGAGCTGGGTGGTCTGCTGCAAGGTTGGCAGGACTGTTGTTCTCAGTCCGGTCAGCAGGTAGAGCTCACAGAGCGAGCAATGGGAAAGCACACATCCCTTTTTCTCGAGTGTACTCTCTTAATGGGCTTTCTAATCGCTCCCACTGGAGTGAGTAAAGGTGGAATTAATTCTTGTAACCTGAGTAAAGCTTAGACCATCTCAAGCTTGGACAGTAAAGGGGAGGATTCTATGAAGCAATGGTGTTTCTGATGGCTATTTAGTAGAATTTGGCAAAAGCACTTTTGAAAATTGCTTGGATCATTTAAAGAATTAGCATATTATTTCATACATTGTTTCACAGTATGATTTCATATAAAGCTTATTTCTTATAACAATGAATTACTACTACTACTAATAAAAAAAAAGGAAAGTAATTCCCTTCCTTCCCCCCTGCCCCTTCAGATCATGACATCAAGCCATATAGCAGAATTGCATTCTATAATGTTGCATGAAGGAGGAATGGATTGCAGAGTGAGAAATCAAAACAGCTTCACCCATGAAAAAAGAAACAGGCATGTTAAGGCATATCGGGATGATTTTTTTTAAGCACGCAAGAATGTCCATGAATCAGAGCAGGTAACTCCATATCCAATAGAAAACTGCTGGGTTCTCTGTACCTTTCAAATGCACATATCTGCTAGCCAATGGTGTTGTATTTTGAGCATATGTTTTTCTACATAGTGAATATCATATTACAAAGATTCCGGTCTTAGTCTTCAAGACAGACTTTTGAAATGGCTCACTTCTTTGTACACAATATCACTACATTGTTAAATAATGCCTATGAAATTTCTCATGCACAGAAATTACATAAGTCCTTTGAAGCCAAAGAAGCCCCCTCCACACCCTTTTTTTTTTAAGCTCAATGGGCTTTAGACCAGAGCACAGCAATAGAATTGTAGTGTCACTTAAGTAAACAGGAGTTGCACCACCAAATTATGTGCAGAAATAAAACTAATTTCCAATTTATAAAAGTGTTATATATATTTAACTGCTAACTACAATAAGTTCGTGTCAGTCTTATAGGCAGCAGTGCCATAAGATGACAAAGTGATTTCTTCTGCCTGCAATAAGTCTCTTTGCATCTACAACCAGTAGTTTTCAGACATATATAGTTAGTCATTCAGATTCAATCTGGCTGTGATTGGATATGAAAAACCAATGGTTAGAAGATTAATTTTCGTAATTGAAATACAGTCTTTTAAAATTTCTGTAGTAGCTGCTTCAATATTCAAAACCTTTCTAAGAATCAGTCAGATTATTTTTGCTTTAATACGTTCTATGTATGGCTGTTTCAACTTAAACCTCTTCTCCCTAGCTCACTATGGGCTCTAAGATTAGGACATGGCCTGCTTCCTAAAATGGCATCTTTCAAATGCTTCGTGCCCCAAGCAGAAAGCAAGCAGCCAGAGCTCGAAGCACACTTATCCTTTGAAGAGCAGACTCAGCGACAATGACTGAAGAGGTAATAGTAAGAAACAAGCGATGTTCCTGATTAGCGAAATCCTTTGCGTCAATTAGGACATCATGCAAATGGCATCCCTCCACCCTGTCCAAACCATGCATTCCACAAAAGCGATTCTCACTTTACCTGTAATGTTCCACCATTGATGAGGAAATGGCCTTAGAAGACATTATCTATACCACAAACACATGAATGCCTGTATCAGTTCCAGGGAACACATTATAATTGTTTTAACAAGAGCTGCCAAGACATGTAGCTATTACATTCTATTGGCCTATACTTTAGCTAAGAGATTATGATGAGAAATTTAGCTGGATTAAAAATTAGAACCATGCATTTCAGTTGTTTAGAGTATCACAATAAAGTGTGCATTTTCAGTAGCTGTCTGTCACCAGTATGAAAAGGAATTTTCTGTCCACTGTACCACATATATTCCACAGAATAAACTGTCTGATGCTCTCAGATATCATATTTGACATTTTAAAAGGGACAGCAGAGGTATATAATCTATTACGTTAATTACATATTTAATTCATTTTTAAATTGCTGTTATAGTAGCTTGCTTAGGGCACCTGAAGCCATGTGGCACATTAAAAGTGAGATGGCATGGCAGCAGGGATAAGCACCAGGGAGAGGCAGAAGCCAGTTGAGAGCAGCCCTGGAGAGGAAACCTGAGAGGAAACTCTCTAGGCATTAAGCCTGGTGAAGTGGTATGCCAGGGAATTTCTGACATATGGTTGATTTTCATGGTATTCAGGGAAAATGGGCTTCATGTACCAGTTTTTATAAGTAAAAAAAAAAGATTTACACTCTTGAAATGCTGATGCACAGGAGGATGCTAATGGAGACCGTAAATATTAGTTACTGGTTACAGCTAAAGAAAATAACTATGTATTTCACAAAAAAAGGGGATTCTAGACAGAAGAATTACTGTGTGCCTAAGGAACCAGGTATTGAGCAGTAAAAAAAAAACATGAAGACATTTTCTGGAATCTAAGGAGACTGAACCATCAAAAATGAGACCTCAGTGATTTCTGAAAATATTTTAATTTAAAAAAATACTGGAACTTTATTTCCAATAAATTCATATATTTCATATTTAAAACATCGATTCTAGCAAATATTTTAAAGCAAGTACATTTCACACATCTGGATGTATGAAAAGGTTATTTCCATTTTGCTTTAGAAGCTAATCTTGTGATAATATGTTACATGATTATAACAGTATGATATTCATGAAAGCATGAGTTAACAAAAATCTACCAGCAAAAGCTCCCAATCCTACTTGTAAGTTATTTAAGTGTTTTTCTGAAATATTATCTCAGCCACAAGCAAACAGACTTGCAGAGTATGCCAGTTCCTGTTTTTGTGTACTTTTAAAGTGTTCTTAAAATAAGCACCTTTTTATTTAGTGTGAGTGGAATACAGATGATGCCTTTTATTACACCACTGACATCTAAATAGATAAGCAGTAAATATGGCATACTATTTGTAGCAGGGAAAAATGGACAACACTCAGGGAACACAGTATCAATTTGAAAGGTGCTTCCGTTTGTCTCTCTCCCATAAATGTGCAACAGTTAAAGGAAGCAGTTTTACTGAGTGAATAAACAGTGGAGCTGGATTCAGAAGACTTGATTTCTATTTCCAACTGTGCTGCAAGCAACCATCTTGGGCAAGAAATGCCATATCTCTGTGCTTTGGTTTCTCTGTGTTTACAGTGGGATAAAAATTTTCTTCCTCTAACCAAGGAGGTGGAAGTGCCATAGAAGAACTAAGGCATTATTAGAATTAACACATTCTTTTATAGGACAGGAACATATACTGATCAGAACTATACACTGGATATACTGTATATTAGGTTTAGGTCCCTAGTAAATAATGCTGAATGTATACAAATTAGTGAAATGTTCTCATATTAACCTATGGGTCATCAATCAACATTTAACATCAAAGTAAGTATTCAGAAATGCACTGTGTCATACTGTGACTAACTCACCTGTATGGCTGTTTCGTTTCAAATACGTATTCGTGGTAGATTTTGATTTGGATGTTAAGTATGTTGAATTGGAGCCGATAGAACTGGAGGACAAGGATTTCCCAAGATTATCAGAACTCTTCTTTATAATGTTGGTTGCTGTCTTGCTCCAATCTAAAAAAAAAAAAAAGATTGAAAAGTTTTAAGCAATTAATTGCTTTAGTTACTAAATGCTTTTTTTAAAAATCATGAACATTCCGAGTATCAGATGCATTTCTTAAGGTTGTTTATAACAAATTATTTGTCTGTTTCCTGTCAGAGAGCCTTTGGTTCTTCTCTTAAGATAGAACCAAAAACCAAGAAACCAAACTTCATTTGCTTGATTAAAAAATCCATCTCAATTCACTTGCATAGAATCATAGAATGCTTAA